CTTCGATTGGTCTCTTGGAAGACGGCGTTTCTTGTAGCTGTCACTTCAGCCCGGAGGGCCAGTGAATTTTGCGCGTTTCGCATAGACCCTCTTTATTTAAACTTTCACAGGGAGAAGGTCGTTTTATGCCTCGACCCATCTTTTTTGCCTAAAGTGTCTACACCTTTCCATATGGGACAATACATTGTGCTGCCTGCCTTTTTTCTGTCACCGTCAACTCCATTGGAAAGATCTTTGCATTCACTCGATGTTCTCCGTTGCTTAGCCTTCTACCAATCACGAACGGAGTCTATTCGACGATCCAATAAACTATTCATCAAATATTCTGCTAGGAATCAGGGCAATCCAGTCACTCCGCCGAGACTTTCTAAGTGGATAGTCCACACTATAGTCTTATGCTATCAATTAGCTAAGCTCGAACTGCCTTCAGTTCCTCGAGCCCATTCTGCTAGAGCTGTTGCAACCTCGTCTGCATTCGCATCTGGGGTCCCGATTGATGATGTCTGCCGAGCCGCTACTTGGGTGAACCCTTGCACCTTCACCAGGCACTACCGTCTCGATGTTCAAGCTCGACGGGATTGCTCCTTCGGTAGAGCTGTTCTCTCCTCCGTTCTTCAGTGAGGACACCTTCCCTCCTCCTTTATGGCAGGCTTGTTAATCTACCCATATGCGTGATGCACAGAGGCCACGACGAAGAAAAGCAGGTTGCTTACCTGTAACTGATGTTCTTCGAGTGGCCATCTGTGCAGTCACACAACCCACCCGCCGGCCCCGCTCGGTGTCAGTGAGTGGACACATTCATCGGTACTGAAAGTTTCTCATTTTTTCTTGGTACCGATCCCTTTTTCCTATCTCATACTGAAAATTTTTCCACAAGGGAGCGCACGTTTGGTCGTCAAAGACTGAACAAAATGGCGGACGCTCCACTCTTTATAGGCCATGGGGGAGGGGGAGCAGAGCTTTCCCGCCAAAAACTGTTAGCTTGCAATCTTCCGGCCAAAGGCACTGCGCAGGTGCAGCACCCCATATGTGTGACTGCACAGTTGGCCACTCGAAGAACATCAGTTACAGGTAAGCAACCTGCTTTTCTT